GGTTTGAAGCAATTACCAAAATAGTGATATAAGAGATTTGACAGCTTCATGATTGGCCATGGGTATACAAGGAGCCCATATGATCCATGTGTTTACTTTTATATGTTAACGATATGCTTATTGCTTCCAGGAATTCTTCGGCTATTCGAAAGTTGAAAGAGGAGCTGTCATCCGAGTTTGAGATGAATGATCTTGGAGAAGTAAAGAAGATATTGGGAATGGAGATCGAGAGAAACAGGGTGAATGGGAGTTTGAAGTTTACACAGAAGAGTTTTTTGCAGAAGATGTTGAAGAAATTCAGCTTTGAGGGCAATGCAAAAGTAGTTAGCACACCATTGGCTCTCCACTTCAAGCATTCAGCGTTGATATTGCCTGTTTCAGTTAAGGACAGAGATTATATGTTGAAGGTCCTATATGTTAGTGCAGTAGGTAGCTTGATGTATGCGATGGTGTGTACGAGACCCGATTTGTCATAGGCCGTGAAGTGGATTCTACGGTATGTTTGAGGCACCGTGGATGTTGGTTTGGTATTCCAGAAGGATGAGAAGAATGGGAAGAATGGGTAGGATTGTATTGGTTACGTGGATTCAGATTATACTAGAGATCTTGACAAATGCCGGTCTACTTCAAGTTATGTGTTTACATTAGCAGGCGCACCGGTATGTTGGCTATATAAGCTTCAGTCCACGGTGGCTCTCTCTACTACAGAGGCGGAGTATAAAGAGGTGACTGAGGTTGTTAAGGAGGCTTTGTGGCTATAGGGATTATTAGATGACTTGGGGATCGCACATGAGACCATTCGGGTATTTTGTGATAGCATATCGGCTATCTATTTGGTGAAGAACCAGGTTTATCATGTGCGCACGAAACACATTGATGTCAGATTCCATTTTGTTCGTGATGTTTTGGATGATAGATACATTATATTAGAGAAGGTCCACACGAACGATAACCCTGCAGATATGATGACCAAAGTTGTTTCAGGTATGAAATTTGGTCATTGTTTGAAGCTTATGAACATTCTTCAGTGTTGAGGTCTTTGGACGCCATTTGGGTGAACTACGTTCGGCTTGATTCCTTAGGCAAAAGGATATGTAGGCAGTCTTTCGATGTAACCGGTTTGATTTAGATGGGGGGAGATCATTTCAGCTCATGTTTGGTTTCCCGATTTATTATGGATTGAGTCCGTTATTGTGGGGTGTTTCCACGACGTCCTGGATGCAACAAGTGAGACATTTGGATGATTTAGTGTCCGCTCAGTTTTTGGTAGAAACATTCGCTGAGGTGGAGAATTGAAGAAGTGACGATAGATAGTTAGGAAATATCAGCAGGATAGCAGGCCAGGACTGGTGTCACACGGCGAGTCAACGGTGGTCGACGGAACATGGCTAGGAAGCAGAGGCTCTGGAGCTGAAGGCGGTCGACCGTGATGGTCGACCGCGCGGACCCTGTAGGCGATTTAAATCTCGGGAATTGGTTCGGTCGACCATCGCGGTCGACTCTGGGTTTCCTGTAATATATTTATTCGCTGTCAAGGGTGTTCGGTCGACCATCGCGGTCTACCGCGATACCTGCACGGTCGACCGTCATGGTCGACCAAGTAGCAGGTTTACAGTTGGGTCAATTATTTGACCCAGTTTGTTTTGGAGCTGATATATAACTCTAATCTTGATTAATTAGGATTAAGTAAGGATATTTTTGAGCAGTCTTTAGGAGAGAATTGTTGCATCCAATTGTGGGAGACTTATGAGAGATCTAGAGCTTTGTTTTAGGGTTTGATCGGTGAGATTTATACCTCTATTTGTATTCTCTTGATTTCTAATAGTAAGAACTGCCCCCTCTTTGTCCCGTAGACGTAGGCAACTTGTCGAACCATGTTAAACTCGTTGTCTTGCTCTGGTATTGTGTTTGGCTTATTAGTTGTGATTTATCTATTGTTCTTGTTTGTGTCACTTCGAGGCTTCCGCCATGCTACAATAAATTATAATATAAATTTATATATATATTACTTGATATAACTAAAGAATATATATAATATAATATATATATATTAATTTAATATTATATATATATATATAATATATATATATATATCTATATATATATATATATATATATATATATATATATATATAATAATAGTAATATAGAGAAAAACTTATGTCAATTAAGTGGACATCACATAAGTTTCTTAGCATTTATGTCACTGATTGACTACATTGTGATAGGTCCGCTTCCGGTTAAACTGATCTACATGTCTAAAATCCGCAACACACACATTATGGGTACCGTCGTGTTTGACCCCTTATCTATCGTATCAATTTAACGCGTTTGAATGAATAAATATTTTACATGACTGGACGAGGTCAAATCCGACGGGTTCACCCAAATTTGTGTGTTGGGATTTAGAATATGTAATCAAGTTTTAACCGGAGCGATCATCATAATGTAGCTCAATCAAGTGCACATCATGACTACGAACATAGTGGATCCACATTAAGTTGAACATAAGTTTTTTCAATATATATATATAATATATATTTATATATTATATATAATATATATATATATTATATATATAGTATATCAGTATATATATAGAAGAAGGCGAAAAGAAGAGAGCGAGCAACTTTATGTCAACTTTACAAGTGGAGCGTCCACCTAAAGTTTCATTAGTCATTGATGATCACTTAATTGAGCTATATTATGGATGATCCGCTTCGTTAAACTTGATCTACATATTCTAAAACCCTAACACACCAAATTTAGGATAAACCCATCGTGGTTTGACCCTCCGTCGAGCCATGTAAAAAGTTCTATTCATTTGAAATCGTTAAAATTGATACGAGTGGATGAAGGGTCAAACCACGATGGGTTCACCCCAAATTTGGTGTGTTGGGGTTTTAGAATATGTAGATCAAGTTCAACGGAGCGGATCATCCACAATGTAGCTCAATCAAGTGATCATCAATGACTAAGAAACTTAGTGGACGTCCACTTAAGTTGAAGTTTGGAAAAAAAATACCCTTAAAATTCAAATTAATCCATTAAGTAAGAGTAAGTTGATAAATTGATGAATTTTTATTGGATTTATATAGTATGAAGATAAGAATATAGTTTAAATTGAAATGTAAAGCTAAATAAAATTATTAAATGCTAAATTTACAAATATATACAAGATGAATGACGTATATGTAAAAACCAAATAAATTAGTAAGACAAATAATGTCCGCCCCAGAGATCAAACCCCGGAACAATGCAGACCTACAAATATACATAATATGGACGAGGTATTTGCAAAATCCACCAAACAAATTAAAGAGATAAAATCGTTCTGAAAAATATAAAAATTAAAATAAACGGCTGCAATATGAGGACACAACGTGGCGATCTCTCACCAACTAAGGTTAAAATAATTCACAGTATTGCATAATTAGTTTTAAAGTTTAATTATACTATTATTATTTAAATAGAACTCTATTTATAATTATTATACTCTCACATACAACATCACATACCAATATTTATAAGCCAAGAAACTACAATAATTTCCGTAGCACTTTTATCTCCTTCTACATATATTTGCCCTTATTATTTTCTTCTTAATAGATTAGATTATATTATTTTAAAATAATTAGTTATATTATATATTTGATTTTTTCATATCAAGAAATATTAATAATTTTCACAACACTTTCATCTATTTTCTTCGGCTAAATACCCATATTGGTATTTTAATTTCACCCTATTTACCAAGAAGGTATTTTAATTAGGCAAACCTACTTTAATGTATTTTAATTGATTCAACTTACCAACGAGGCCCTTTTCCTCGTCGGTGACTAGTTTTCCGATGAGAGTTCGTCACGTGCGTGGCACGTGATGACTTAAACTGTTTTTAAGCTGCTGATGTGACCGTATTTTCTAACGTGGATAAAACAGTTGGGAGAATAAAGGGGATTCAAGCTGAGATTGCGTGAGATTGGAAAGTAGGGTTTATCAAATTAGGGCATTCAAGCTGAGATTGAGCGTGGGCATTCAAGCTGAGATTGAGCGTGGAAGAGAAGATATTATGTCGTCGTCATTAAGTTCAAGCTCTCGTTCTAAAGCAAGCAAGGTCAGTGGAAATTAGGATCACATGTAAGTATTAATCATGGTTTGAATGTTTTGGCAGGTATTAGAAGGAGGAATGAGGAAGCAAGGATGGTTGGCATGAAAATCTGTAAGTGTGGAATGGATTGTGGGTATTATACGTCATTTACAGATAAAAATCCTGGGAGAAGGTTTTATAAATGTCAGAATCCTAATGGTGGCTGTGGAATATGGGAATGGTTTGATAAACCTGTGTGCAATGTGTCTTCTACTCTATTTCCTATTCTACGAGATGAAATACTTAACTTGAGGAGTGACTTAAAGCTCAGGGATAGGCAGATTCAAAGAGTTGAGGCCGAAGTGAAGGCTTGTCATGTTGAAAATGCTAAGTTTAGAGACCAGCTCCAGGTTTTATACAATGAGAACACTTGCTCTATGGAAGAAATATCAAATTTGACAGATGTGAGATTCAAATTAGAGGGTTTGCTTCAATTGGAGACTAGGAGGATGATGTTGTTCAAGAGAGGAAGTTTGATATCTCTTTTATTTGTAGTAGTTTTTATTTGCGTATTTTTTTGTTTATGGACATGGATATGTAATGTTTAAGAGCAAATTGTATGAATTATTGAATTTAATGAGAAGAAGCATTGAACATGAAGATCTGTCACTGTCTAAGAGAAAATTTTGTCATGGTATACCCTGTTTTCATGAATTTTCTTTGTACGTAAACCTGTACAATATAGTTTTCCTGTGACAAAGCGTACTCACAAGTTTAAGTTCATGCCCAGAAGCTCATGTTCACATTGCACAATCAACATACTAACCAGTAACCACAAGCTGTGTAAAAATACACCTTGCAAAATAAACATAATCAGATTTTCATGATCACCATTAGTTTAACTATTTGCACATAGTCACATTGTACAAGAGTATGTGTTCGTCATGTTTACAGTCACCATCAACAAGTAAAAAGTCATTCAATTACATAAAGTCTATATATTACCAAAAACTAAACTATAATTACATATAATTACAACTCACTATTATGTGCACATGAAGCCTGTGTATGCTCCTCTTTGTGTACATCCTGGGTTGAAATTAGAGTTGAATCTTGTATGATTGTTGCTTGAGAGGCACTTGGATCTCTATAAGCTACTTCACCATGATCACCATGCCATATGCCAAAACCCTCTAGCATAATGACTTCATTATTTCTTCCTCTGCCTCGACCCCTTCGTCTATCACTCCTTCCTCTAGCATTTTGAGATTGAGCTTACAGAATACATAACAAATTCATATATCAGTAGGAATCTATATGAAAACTGCACAAGAATATGTATTGTTCATTACCTCTAGCCATTGCTCTTATATTTATGAAAACTTGAGATGGTGGAAGAGGGTTAGTTTGACTAAACTCTTCAATAGAATTGTTAGGTCTTGTTTTGCTCCCCTTTGGTCTTCCTCTTTTCTTCTTTCCACTTGTGCCTTCATCAAGAACTTGAGATTGATTTTCCTAGAAGTAAATCAATGGAGAAGTTAGATAATACGATTGCATATGAGATATTTAAATATCTAAACAATTATCATTTTAATACCTGTTGATGTGTTGGCCTTGGAGGATGTATTGCTGCATCAGGACAACTGGGTCTTCTATGCCCTGTTCTATGACAATTACTACAGTTTTGTGTTAATCTCTGCTTTGATGACCTAGAAGGATGCTTAGAACCTTCAGATGAGTCTCTCCTCCTAGCAGTTTTGGGTCTCCTCTTTGGCCTTATAACAATATTTGGGGGTAACACCATTCCCTCTCCCTCTGTATCCCAATAATTACTCCTTTGTAATGGATTCAACATTCCTCTATAGGCAATCAAATAGTTTTCTTGAGAATACATCTCTGATAAGTACATTTTAGGTTTCCTACTCATCATCATCACTTCATACTGTCTTATGCGTCTCACTATCTTCAGATTCTGCCGAGTCTACATCTCCACCATCACCAACATTTGAAACCCCTACTCTTACATCAATTCCCCCTCCAACACTTTCATCTACATTCTTATCAGCCTTGATTATTTGCTTTCCCTTTCTTGATCTATTCCTTGTACTAAACTCATCAAATAATTCATCATCTTCACCATCATCATCATACAATGGCTCTGTGGGATCAATTCTGAAATTTTCATCCTCCACTGAGTCATCATCATCATCACTAGAAGATGTTTCTGCAGCTTTGTGAGGAGGTGAATTGGAGGGAATGGGCAGTTGTGATTTGGAGGAAATGAGCAGTGGTGAAATAGTAGGTTTTGAAATACTCCATTGGCCCTCTTTTACATTTAGTCTTTTTTTGGCTGTTAACTTCGTTCTCTTAGTCAGAGGAATATTTCTTTTAGGCTGCGTTTGGAAACTAAAATTTGGATTTGGAATATTAATTTAAAATCAAAGGATTTTAAATCTAGGATTTAAAATCCATGATTTGATAGAATCTTTTGTTTGGATGCCTTTACAAAATGCAAGGACTTGAAATTAAAGATTTGAAATATAATGTTTGGATACACTTTATTATACATGAACTTGGATTTCAGAGATAAGGAGGACCATTCTATGAATAATTTATGACATATACATATAGTTAACATATATGAGTACCATGCTACTTAGTCCAAGCCTTTTTAAAAGGAAGAAAGACCTGTCATGCACAAATAAAACTTTGAGAAGTGATTCAAAACCAAATTGATTACCTCGATAGAAATTATAAATACTCATGCAAACATCTCATCCTTCATGAATCGATACGAGAGAATACAAAAAATAGTAATAATGTCCAAAATATTCATTATAATAGCATTTTTTCATGGTTTTATCCACTACCACGTTGACCTTTAATCTCCAAAATGACAAGAGTACTACTTTAAAAATAGCCATGATAAAAGACTTGACGAAACAAAAGAGTATAGCGAACAATCCACATAAGAACCTCTAGGCTACACAATGTCTTCATCTAAAACACAACATACTATAGGTGGTAGATAACCATGATTTTCTACAACAAGCCAAATTAGCATAACATAAACTACTAAAAGAAACCATAACAAGAATAGTCTATTTATCCTTCAAAGTTTTCTCCTCCTTTTTCTCCTATGCTTCCAACTCATGCCTCGGAGAACATATTGGATCCTACATTAAAAAATTTAGCATTAATTAGTTCATGAAACAAAATACGCTCTAAAACATAAATAATATCTACTACAAAGGCAAATCACAACTATAAGTGTGCATATCACGATTAGCTAAAGCTGAGTCTATATCACAATTTTTAAATCCTAGATTTAAAAATGCTTACCAGTTACATTAGCCTTTCATAACTTCTAACAACTTTAGCTGTCCCTCAAGGAAGCAGAACTATCAGTCCACAGCTGAATCCAGAGCATCCACATTTTTTTTCAAAACCTTTCTATTGTTAGAACTAAGAAATTTACACATGGTTCAAAACACATGAATTTTAATAGCATTTGAAAGAGTTTCAATCATCACCATTTAAATAACACCTAGAGCCAATCAAGTTTCTCTTTGATCAAGAAGAATTTTATCTAAATTCCCCTACCACATAGTTACATTAGTACAGTGTTACTTAAAGGACCTAGACGCTTTCAGTCTTCAAAACAGTCTAGAATTATTTCAAATATTCTCAGAAACCTTAGAAGCACATGAACCCAAGCTTATGACTATGTTAGGAAGAAATACAAATCCCCTACAAACTTATATACAATATCCATGAAGTTTTTGAGTAACTGAAATTGTTGAGTAACTTCAAAAGTAATAATGTTAAAAAGAATCATATAAATAACAACAAAAATCATGAAGAGACAAAAATGTCGATTATGGGGGAAGCACAGAATAACTAAATTGAGGTTGACTATAATCTTGGCATACAGGACATATGTGTACCGCACCTTAAATTAAGAAAGCTGTCACTTACAGAGGAAAACTACAGAATAATATAAATAGTATGGATGAAATCATTATTGGTACTCCCAGAAAGAGCGTCTGGAGAAAGAATTCATGTAACAAGGAAAAAGGGAAATAAGTTATTATATCAGCAAAATACAGGGCAGTAATCCTGTCATATACAGGGAATATAATTCAAACGTGTAATATGGACAAGGCATATGCATCATATCCCCATTTCTCTGCAGCTCTTGACAACAATATAGAGAAGAGTCAAATGGAGGATAAAGTTATAGCAATAGACAGCTCCAAGGGAAGCCAAAAGAAAATTAAAGGATACAGTTGCAAAGCATGAGTTTCCATGCCCTTCAATTCTTCACTCAATCTGCAATATACAAAATTTTTATGTGATAAGACTATTAAACGGAACCGCAAAAAAAATACAAAAAGAAAACCATGTGTAGAAAAACACATTTATATCCAGGTTTCTATATTAAACAGAACCCTGCTCAAACCATTGTTGAATTAAAGATGTTGTCCCTAGGGCACTCCACCAATACCTCAAGCCCTTCTCCTCCAAATATTATATCGGAATGTTCACAAATAACATATCTTGAAGCAGCTCAGCTAAGGAACATTTCTTGGCATAATTTATCCATAACCGGAGTAGTAATACATAAAAGAAAAGCAGCATACTAGGAGATATACACCCAGTATGATGGTGCACAAAAGTTTGAATTAATTAAAGATGTAGTAAATTTATACTATTCAATCAAGTTTAGCATACATATATGATGGTGCACAAAATAAGCTGAGATTCTTGTATGCAGCTATAGACGAGATAACTATTATAAAGGTTAACATGTGCCAAGAAAATATGGTTCACCGAGTTAGTTTACCAGATTCCTGTATGGATCCAACAACATCACTGAAACACTGCATATTCTCCACCGACGTACTTGTTGCCTACATGATGTGAGTTGTCGTGTCAAAGATTCTCGGCAAATCAAAAAATGGAATCAAGATGATAAGCATGCACAAATTCTTATACTGATACATTATCAGAAATATTTGACTATTTGAGTAGCCTTTACCTACTAGAATTATATCATTCATCAAAAGAACACGAACATATCAAGGAATAAACAGCAAAATATGTCATAATATAGTAAAAATCAGAAATTGAAACACAAGCCGAGGAAAAACTATACAGCAACATCAACTTATGAATACCTATGTTTTCCATCTGCAAGATTTTGTTGTTTCTTTTCGGTTATCAATCACAATATGCTGTAAATTTGTTCTCAAATATTAAAAACTAATTTTTTTAATTGAATTTTAAAGTTTAGTACTCATCAAAACCCTAGTTCTGACGTTACCAATCAAAATTAAAACCGAACACAGCTTTCTGCGGCTCTCGGCGAACTAAATCTAACTATAGTGATGTCTAACGAATTGAATCTCAGAGAGAGCCATTCGAAGCGAGGGGAAGAGGGAGGCATAGCTGTTGGCAATGGCGATGACGTCCCTCTCAACGATCTCTAGTATTTTGAAGATCTCATTTCGATCAAGAGTAGCAATGGGCTTGGCCTCTGTTGGCTCTGATCTAGGGTTTCGATGGAAGGGGGAGAGAGAGGAGTAAGGGGGAGACCGAAATCCTAGATCAAATCTAGGGTTTCGATGAGAGAGGAGAAGAGGAGAGAGGAGACCAAGGGGAGAGAAGAGAGATACCTACATTGAGAGAGATATTCGAGATCGCCACTGAGAAACGAGAGAGGAGTTGGGATCGGACTAAGGTGGCGTTTGGTTGTTTGCAACTCGATTTGCAATGCAAGTGTTATTTGCATGCAACTGAGACGTTGCAACTCTTCTTACATGCAACAACAAATGCAATTGTTTGGTTTAAAATTTAAATTTTACAACTTATAGTTGCAGCTGTTTGATTATGCTTATAACTTAACATATGCAACTCATAAAATATTTTTAAAAATTTTTTTTTTTAAAAAGTAATATATTTTTAAAAAGTAATATATTTTAAAAAAATAATTTATTTTTAAAAAATAATTTTTTAAAAAAAATAATTTTTTTAAAAAAATAATTTTTTAAAAAATAATTTTTTTAAAAATATTTTTTTAAAAAAAATAGTTTTTTTAAAAAATATTATTTTATAAAAAATAATTTATTTTTAAAAATAATATAATATATCATTTTAAAATATATATTATTTTTAGAAAATTATATTATTTTAAAAATACATTAATCAAAAATATATTATTCAAAAAATATATTATTTTAAATATATATATTATTTTTAGAAAGTTATATTATTTTAAAAATACATTAATCAAAAATATATTATTCAAAAAATATATTATTTTAAATATATTATTATTTTAGAAAATTATATTATTTTAAAAATACATAATCAAAAATATAATTATTCAAAAAATATATTATTTTAAATATATTAATTTTTAGAAATTATATATTTTAAATATATATTATAAAAAAATATATTATCTAATAATATAATTATTCAAAAAATATATTATTTTAAATATATATTAAAAATATATATTATTTTAAAAAATATATTATATTTAGAAAAATTATATTATTTAAAAATATATTATTTAGAAAAAATTATATTATTTTAGAAATTATATATTAGTTAAAAAAAATATATTATTTTAAAAAATATATTATTTTAGAAATTATATATTTTAAATATATATTATTAAAAATATATTTATTCAAAAAATATATTATTTTAGAAAAATAATAGTGTATCCTCGGGAAAATTTTATTTTCAAAAAATATATTTATTTTAGAAAAAATATATTATTATTCAAAAATATATATTATTTTAAAAATATATTAGTTTTTAAAAAATATATTATTTTATAAAATAATATATTATTTTAAAGATAATATATTACTTTAAAAACTAACATATTATTTTGAAGAAATTATTATAATAATAATTATTTTAAAAGATTAATGTTGTTTTTTTTAAAAAAAGTTTTTGAAGAAATTATTATAATAAGAATTATATAAAAGATTATTTTAAACCTTTAATGAATTTATTTTTGAAATATTAAGTAATGATTTTGATTTTAATAAATTTAGGTCAGTTGCAACTAAGTTGCAACTATGACTTGCGGCCATTTTTGACATAAGTCATATGTTGCAACTAAGGGTTGTTTTGCAACTGTGCTTGCAATTGCAACTGTGAGTTGCAGCAAAACAAACACATGCAACTGGTCAAATTGGACCTAGTTGCATGCAACTGGAGTTGCAACCACTCCAGTTGCAGCCTACCAAACAGCCCCTAAGATATGAGAGAGAGGAGGAGTCGGGATCGGGATTTGGTAAATTCTAAGAGGCAGGATAGGATTTTAAATATGTGTATTTGGGCTTTCAAATTCTCCTCTCCAAAATAATTGGATTTGAAATCTCAGTCTCATTTAAAGCCCAAACTAAAAATTTGGATTTTAAATACCCTGGATTTTAAATCCAGGGCCCAAATCCAAGTTCACAAATGCAGTCTTAGGAGATGTAGCAATTGAAGTAGCACCTTCAATAAGGACATACACTTCTACTGGTATGGCAACATTGTGATTTGCGTAGATTTCTATCACTCTGTCCCTCAATGCATGCTCAATCATTTTTGCAAGATCTTGGTCTGAATTTAGAGGCTTTAAACCTCCACTAGCCAGTCCTACACTAGGAATAGCATAATACAACATCCTGATATTGTTATAACCATATTCTTTTGCACTAATTTTTTTAATTGTTCTAATGAAATATCTTGTGCATCACAAAACTCAACATCAAATGAACCACCAATGTACGCCACATTACTTCCGAAGTCAAATGAACCCCCATGTCTATATTTAATCATAATTTGTATAGCCATCTGCATAATTTACGAAAAAAGATAATAATCTTGTAATTAACAATCAAAGTACTAATCTCGGTTCTAGCCAATTTAAATCAAATTGCATAAACATTTTTTTAGAATCTACTATAATTTGCATATAAATGTGCCTAAAAAATCACTAACAAAGATATATATTTCAATCTATTTCAACCAAATTCAACCCTATTTATTGGAAAAAAAATCCCAACTGTGAAAACCCTAATTCTATCAAAATCACCAAAAGATCACATAAGTATAAAGAGAATCAAACATTCGCATCGGCTTCAACCCGTACCAAGTCATCGTCCTCTGAAAATCACCTTCTGCATCAACTGAGGAACACCATCACGTGGAATCCCTACAATCTATCTCCTTCAACTGTCTCCTCCACGATTTCTCACTCTCTATTTCTCCCACTCTCTCGCGTTCAAATTCTAAAAATAAAAGGGGTAAATCTGTCTTATTTTGGGTGAATTAGGATTTTAGAGGATTAATTCCCGTCTTTAAACACTATCACGTCAGAAAATCTGTGCCATATCAGCAGCTTAAAAATAGTTTAAGTCATCACGTACCACGCACGTGACGAGCTCTCGCCGGAAAACTAGTCGCCGACGAGAAAAATGGCCTTATTGGTAAGTTGAATCAATTAAAATGCCTTAAAGCAGGTTTGCCTAATTAAAATACCTTCTTGGTAAATGGGGTGGTATTAAATTACCAATATGGGTATTTAGCCTATTTTCTTTTTATTAAATTAGATTAAATTATTTTAAAGAAAGTAATTATATTGTATGTTTGATCTTTTTTCAGATCAGAAATTATAATAATTTTCATAGCACTTACATCTCCTTCAACAAATATGTGCCTTTGTTATTTTCTTCTTATTAGATTAGATTAAATTGTTTAAAAATTATGAATTATAAAATTGCAATAATTTTCACATTATTTAATTTATTTTCTTCGTATTAGATTAGATTAGATTATTTTAGAGTAATTACTTAAATTGTTTGTTTGAACCTTTTTTAGATCACAAAGTTTAATTATACTATTATTATTTAAATAGATACTGTTTTTATAAAGTTGAAAGAGAATATCACACATATCTTAGATCTCAATGCCAATTGTAATATTTACACATGGTGTTGGTTAAAATAAATTTCATGTATGAGCTTAACTTATATAATCCTACAACACCCAAACTCTTCCACATAACCAAAACAGAGTATCAATGATATATATATATATATATATTAAATGAAAGAAGAAAATTATACAAACAAAAATCATATTAATAACCTACACGCATCCACTGTTTTCAAAACCACCATTCTCCATCTCCATCTATTATATACCCACATACCAAATTAAGCTGCTGGAGTTTCCTCTCACTAACCACGCCATTGATCAACCCTCATTTTTCATTTATACTTAAATTATATAACATTCATTGCAATGAAGATTCACATGGGTCCTCTGTCTGCCTTAAACGTCCAATAAAAAATAATGTACTAAGCCTTGTAGTTAATTAATAATGAGATCTCATCATTATAAACAAACTAAGTAAAGAGTAATAATTCTTAAGAATGTAATATGTTCCCACATCTTCTACTTCAAACTTGTTAGTTGTTTATTCCTAACCCCAAGAGAGTTTTAAAATAATCATCTATTTCATAAATTTTTAAAAAAATATTTAAATAACATTTATGGTAAATATACCAATCCATGTTTATAGATTTTAACTTAAAATAAATCTAACTTATTTTATAGTAAGAAAATAAACAAAAATAATAATTTTATATTTAACCACGTGCATTATACATGCATAAGAACTAGTCATACTCCCTTTAAAAGCACGAGTTTGGAAAATCTTTTTTAGACAAATATACCCCTTTATAGTTTGAACTACCTTATCTATAATCAAATTCTAATTTTCAAATTTAATTTTAATGATGGGAAAAGATGCTCTTATTTTAGAATTAACAAAATAACCGATTAGAGTTATTTATCCGATTAGATACATCATGTTTAAAAAAAGGTTTGCTAATGATTAAAAAAAAGGTTTGCTAATGGTTAACTTCAATCTAAATTAATCTAATCGGATAAACAACTCTAACTATTTAGAATTAACAAAATAACCGATTAGTTATTTATCCGATTAGATACATCATGTTTAAAAAAATTAGTTATTTATCCGATTAGATACATCATGTTTAAAAAAATTAAAAAAAATTGTCGACAGTAAATTCATCTCCTTATCTATACATGTTATAAACATTGAGGGTGTACATACCGATTAGAGTTAAATAACAGATTAGAGTTATCTATACTTCTTATCCATAGACATGTTGGGGAACCCGATCAGAAATTAAAGAAAAAATTCCGAAAGAAATAAATTTCTAAAAAAATTCAACCCACCCGTAACACAATTCAAATCCTAATAAAACTCTAATTATAACTATTATCTTATCACATGTAATACATCATGCCTATATATAAACCAAAAAAGTACATACTTTTCATAGTAAATTCATCTCCTTCGACATGTATGTTTCTTTTCTATTTTCATGATTATTCTTTAAAAAGATTTTGTATTTGATTAAATGGTGATATTTGTTTTACACTGAAATTATTTTTTATGGCAATTGATTTTTTTTCCTTCAATTTTCATGCAGAATTTAGAGGGTTAAGGATTTGAGTGTTGCAGGTTCTCCCATCTATCATGGTAAATCTTCATGTTTGATATTATTTTACTTTAGATTTATTTGATTATATTTTCCTCTTCTATTTTTTTAAAATTTATTTCT